GGGTTGGGTCTTGAGATCATCCACATGACCCTCCAGCAGCCAGAACAGAGAGCGGAGGTGGGGGCAGAATCGGAGAGTGGCCCAGATATCTTGTCTCTACTGGACAGTGGACATCTGGACACGCTGAGGCTCCTACAGGAGAACTTCTGGATGTTTGTACAGGGTGGCAGCCTGCGGTAGAGCCTGAGGGTCCATCTCACACGTGGGGCATCATTTCCCAGCTGAAGGCTCAGATGCTGGGGCTAGAACCTGTCTTGGTGGTTCCCATACCATCACTACTAACAGCAACATACCTATTTCACAAATGAAGTAGTTGAGGCTCAGAGAGATGAAGTGACTTGCTTAAAGTCATTCAGCAAGCAAGTGTCAATGCTGCGATTTGTACTTAGCTCTCCGTCCTTGTATATTCCGGCCCTTTCACCATGGGCTGAAACAGTCACCTCTGGGGTAGTCTGCCCTCCTCTTCACTCTGACCTCAGCAGAGTCCTTTCAGTCTTCATGGGCTGGGGAGAGTTTGGAATTTCTGCTGCTTTTCAGAGCCTGTCTTTTCCTGCAGGATGTCATAGCCAGAGAGTTGAATGCCCTTTTAGCCTGAAAAATGTAGAAAGCTTAAGTTGTAATAAAAGTAAAAGTAATAAGATGAAGTGATATTTTCTGAACACTCACCATGGGCTCACCATTTAGTCCTCACCACAGCCATAACTGGAAGGTTGTCTTAGGAATATTTTTGGCTGCAAGTAAGAGAAAGTCTGACTCATGTTCTCTTAAACAACACAGACATTTGATTATCTCATCAAACAAGAAGTTTAGAGGGAGGCAATTCCAGGGATGGCTAATTCTGGTGACTCTGTTTTGGCGCTCTGCAATTCTCCTGGCCTTCCCCTCATCACAGCCCCAACCATCACATCCTCACACAATGGCCCCCAAACCCAGAAAAGGAGGCAAATAGGGAGGAAAAAAATGTCCCAGAAGCCCCCAACAGACTCCAGGAGGTGGCCACATGACCACCCCTGGACCAATCACTAGCAAAGAGGGATTTCCCTGACTGGCCCAGACAAGTGGTGGTTCATTTTCTAGGAAGAGGGCAGGGTCACCTTCCTAAACACAGGCATCATTCCTGAACAAAATTGAGTTCTGCTAGCAAGGAAGAGAAGCTAGGGCCCCAAACACATTCTTCTCTCCTTGGTGCGAGCCATTGAGTCTCCTTCCCTAGGAGAAGTGTGCCCTGGGTTGAGGTGCGAAGAAGGACAACTACTCCGAAGGGATTCAGACTGAGGTGACACTGGTCACTGAAGGTGGGGTTAGGAGTAGAAGTAACATTTATTGAGCGCACCTACTGTGTGCCAAGTCCTCTCATCATATGTAATTCAGACGTCAGTCACAACAGCCCTGTGGAAGGGCGCTTCCCATTTTTTCAGATGAGAAAATTGAGATCAAGCTCTGATCACACATAGAGTGCGGGGCAGAACTGGAATCAGTGCTAATTACAGTCGATTTCACTGATGCTCACTGTGTGTCAGGCACCGGGGCAAGTGTGTCACCTAGATTAGGTGTCACCTCAGTCCCAACCCCATGAGGTTCTCTTTTCCCCGTTCTACTGATGAGGGACCGTGGCTCAGAGAGCTGAAGCAGACTTCCCCAAGTCACACAGCCCAGCCCAGGTGGGAATCAGACTGTCAGATGGCCACTCCATCCAAAAACCAAACCAAACCTGTTGCCGTCGAGTTGATTCCAACTCATAGTGACCTATAGGACAGAGTAGAACTGCCCTATAGGGTTTCCAAGGAAAGGCTGGTGGATTTGAACTGCTGACCTTTTGGTTAGTAGCCAAACGCCTAACCACTGTGCCATCAGGGCCCTGGCCACCCCATAGAGTGCCCCAAATTTAGAGAAAACCCTCCAGGCCCCTTCAGCAGCCTTTTTGGGATTGTTGGCTCTGCCAGCAGTTAAGTTGGATAAATAAACGAGGGGTTCAGGAAATTTCTTTTGCCTCTGGCTGTTCTGAATCTGCTAAGGCCACATGGGAGTCATCCAGCTGCCTTGACAGCCAACATTAAACAGACAAACAAACAAATCTCTGATACGACAGCAGGGAATGTTAAATACTGTCAAGAAAAAAAATAAACTAAAACATCTTAGGGCAATGGAGAGTGATGGGGTAACTGCAAGAGACGACGTGGTCAGGGAGGGCTTCTCTGAGGACGTGAGAGTTAAGCAGAGACAGAAGGATGAGGGATGTGAGGAGCAAGTGAGCTGTGCAAGCCTCTGAGGGAAGAGTTCCAAGCAGAGGGAACAGTAAGTGCAAAGGCTTTGAGGTGGGGCTGTGGTTGCTACGTCCAGGAAGGATGGGGAGGCTGGCGTGGCTGGAGCAGAGTGGGCGACGGAGAAAGTGGGAGGAGATGCATGCAGGGAGGTAAAAGGAAGGTGGTGGAGTGCATCAGGCTGGCCCTTGTAGGACCTTGTGAGGACTTGCTTTTGCTCTGAGTGAGGTGGAAGCCAGGGAGGGTTCTGAGCAGGATTCAGTGACAGGATCTGACCTACGTTCTAGCAGTATCCTTCATCTACAGTGGGGAGAATGGACTGAGGGGGTGAAGGCAGAAGCCAGGGCACCAAGGAGGAGTAACAGCCACTCCAGAGCTCTGTGGGGAGGATGAACTGCAGCCTGCCTGAGCCCACCCAGCAGGGAGTGTAGACACAGCAGCTAGAACCAGACCTCCTGGGTCCCAGCTCCACGCTCCACCCACTGTTTTCATCAGACTTACCTGTGCTGAGCACTCAACACTTTGCAATTCCCTTTTACTGGTAAGTTCTCATCAATGCCTCACCCCAGCCCCCTGAGCTAAGTACAGCTCTGACCTGCCTATTCCCAGGTAAGGAGCTTGGTCAGCGAGGTTAACTAACCTGCTGGTCTCGAAGGGAGTACATGCGGGTAGCGGGTGGGGCAGGGAGCAAACCTGGGTGAGGTTCACGCCTCTCAACTGTGAGCCCAGCTTTTCACCAGCACCCAGGGGTGGTCTTGCAAAACTGCCAGCACAGGGGGCTGGCACCCAAGCACCAGGTAATTGTGATGATGGCCACCACATCCTGAGCCACTTCTGTGCACCAGGTACAGGCTGGGTGCTTTACTCCCATTCCCTCTGTCCCTCAGAGCAGTTGAGGATGGGGCGGGGGGTAAAGAAGGGCTCAGAGAGGAGACAGGGCCCAGCCAGTGAGAGGTTGGGCTAGGACTCACACCCAAAGACCGACCCCTTTCCGTGCAGCCATGTAGTGTGCACTGCGTTTGCAAACTGTGGGTGAGCTGTGTGACCTGGGGCAAGTCACCCCACCCCTCTCTGGTCCTCAGTCCCCCCATCTGTACAATGAGGGGCTTAGAACCAGACGACCCTTAGGACCCTCCATCTCCGATGTTTCAGAACTATTATGTCAATAATGAAAGCAAGAATAAAGCTATGCATAACTGGACTAATACAGAATAAAGCTACCGTCCTCAAAGATCTCATTTCATTCGCCTGCGAATTCTGAAGGTGGGTGCTTTCAGGAATTCCACTTTGTAGATCAAGTGAGCTGCCTTGAGCCACACACCTGGTGAGTGGAAGATACCCAAGGCTGTCCCTTAACAGCAGGGGCCCTTGCTCATAAATACACTTCCTGCCATCAGAGAATATAAAAATACATACCATAACTAATACTTCTTGAGACCCTGTTCTCTGCAGGTATTACCTCACTGATTCCTTACAAAAGACCCTGTGAAGAAGGGACTACTATAGGGTCATTACCAGTCAGAATGGACTCAACCACAACGGGTTTTTGGTTTACAGATAGGGAAATTGAGGCACAGAGAAGTTAAGGAAGCACCCAAGTTTACACAGCCAGTAAGTGGCAGAGCTGGGATATGAACCCAGGCAGCCCCAGCCCCCAGCCACTCTTGTAACCCCCGCACTGTAGTTACTGGAGATACCACACTGTGAGACGTAACCCAGCCCAACCCGACCCAGCCCAGCCCAGCCCAAGAGAACCGAAAACACCTGTCTCTAAGGCATCTGGGGTGGGGATGGGATGAGGTGGTGGAGTCTGTTTAGGTGGAACGTCCTGGAAAAGTCGCCCTGGTCCCCCTTACATACTCTTCTTCCACATCACCGACCACCCCACATTCCCTCCTCTCCCACTACACCACCTTCCCACCTCCAGACCCCGCCCTTCCCATGTGTTCTCCCTCCTTTTCCGAACATCACCTCTCCGTCCCATAGACCCCCCTTCTCTACCCCTATTTACTCCCTCCACGCACCCTCTCTTTCCCCTGATCAGCCGTCCCCCCACATCCCTCCCCCCACATCTTCCTTCCCCTCTATCCTACTTATTCCATCACCCCTTTCTAGGCCCAGGAGTGGGGGGCAAGTCTCAGCTGGAGCTGCGGGAGGGGGGTCAGAGCGCCCCCAGCGACCCCTGTGGATCTGGGACGCCCTGCGTCTGGTCCCCTGCCCCGCAGCGGCCAGTACAGACGCGCTGGGAGGGAGGCCCCGTTGGGGGGGGGGCGCAG